TTTTTTTTTTTTAATATTCAGTTTTCGGTGGATACAAAATCTTCATTTTATTTTTATGTGGTGCTGAGGATTGAACTCAGCGCCCTGCACATGCCAGGCGAGCACGCTACCACTTGAGCCACATCCCCAGCTCGAATACTTGCTTCTTATTAAAAAAAAAAAAAAAAAAAAAAAAAAAAAGAATATAGCAGTGCTTGTCATCCAAGCATTACCATCTCATTCCTGAGTAATTCTCCTGGTGGTAGCAATTTCAGTCTGCAGAATAAGACAATGGATTTTTGTTTGCAAAAGCTCAAAGGGCAATGGCCTAGAGATCATTCTAGAAATACATAGAATCAAATATTTGAAGGTATCAGTACAGACCACCCAAAGCAAGAGGGAGTCTACAAGGCACATGTAGCCAGGTACAGAGATCTCTCCCTCCTCCCCCTTCCTAGATCCAGAGGTAAATGAGCCCTCAAATATGGATGAGGATGTTGTTTGCTGCCTTCTGTGGCTGGGAAGTCCACATACAGAACGCTGTGTTTGGCTTGGAAAGGAACAAGTGGAAGCTTCTGTCTTCCAGAAAACTACAGGACTCTTGACTATGGACTTTACCCCAAATTCCTATATGTCATCATTTTGGTTGTTGCTATTTCATGCCTAAGCTTCTTAAATTTGCTTAACTTTCTCCTCTTCATCGCCTCCTGTTCACCACCAGTACTCTTGCATTTTACCATTTCCTTCTTTTCACCAAGAGATCCTTTGAACGTTTACCTCACCTGACTTTCCTAAGGCATTTGACATTGTTAACTTCTCCCTGAGCTCTGTCATTGATGCTGTGGTCAGGACCTGAATATCCCAAGGCCTATGTGTTAGTAACTTGTTCCCCAGGGTCGTGCAATTGGGAGGTTGTGGGAACTATAAGAGGTGGAGCCTGGTGGGAGGCCTTCAGTCACAGAGAGCATCCTTTGAAAGAGACAGCAGAACTCCATCCTCCTCCTTTCTCACTTTTGCTCACGGACTGTGAGGTGAAGGATTTTTTGCTCTGCCACACATTCCCATCATCATGTGCTTCCTTTCCAGAGGCCCAAAGCCATGGTGTCAATTCGTCATGGACTGAAACCACCAAAACTGTAAAGCCAAATAAACTTTTTTTATTTGTAAGTTGGTTTATCTTACGTATTTATTACAGTCTTGGAAAGACCAACTAACATGTTTACATACAAGCCATTCTCTGGAATTTATTTCCCATTTTTGCCACTCATTTAAAGCTCATCCTGTGCCCATCCCTTAAATGTAGACATTCCTCAAGTTTGCCTTTTAGTCTCTCATCTAGACTATCTACCTTGTTATATAGCAGGAAAATTGGGGGTCACGTGAACTTTTAGAAAAATAACTTTTATTTATTTAAGTACAGAATGTGAATTTTCTAAAATACTAAACACTACTAAAAGACCCTTACCAAATCAATAACCTCCGGCTACTACCCTCTACCCCTTTTCTACAAAAACAAACAAAAGCATTGCTGGTATTTCTGTTTGGGGTTCTAATATATGTATCACTACATTAATTTTTGCACATTGGTTTGCATATTGTGACAATGCTAAATTCACTTATTAATACTTACAATTTATTTGCAAGTACTTTGGAATTTTTGTACATATAATTGTCATTTACAAGCAAAATAATTACTATATTCTTTCCAAGCTTTGTAGATTTTCTTTTTTTTTTTTAAATTACATTTGGGCAGGACCTCCAGTATAATGATGAATGAAAGTATTGTCATAGGTATCTTTGCTTTGCTCCACACTTAAGAAGAAAAATTTTGATAATTCACCTGTATTTATTATGTTACCACTAGGCTTTTGGTAGACACTCTTAATTAAATTGAGAAAATTTAATTATATTCCTAAAATTAAATTTAATTTTAGGAATTAAAAGAGATTTTTACCAAATTAAAGTAAATGACAATTTAAATAAAAATTAAATTTAATTAAATGTATAAAATGATTTTTATACATCAAAGTGAAAGGCTGTAAGTTCTCTCTGTTTATTCTGATAATCAAGTAAACAAGATTTATTGGTTTTGGATTGCTTAACTGTGGAATTTTAAAATATCATATATATTTCTATATCCCACTTGATCATAACATTTTGTTTGTTTTTAATGACTCCTAACATAGCATTTATATTCATTTTGTTCTATAATTCTATTTTAATATCTTCATTGACTTGTAAAATCAGGATTACTCTGACCCAATGGTAATGTATGCTGGGATATGTTTAATTACTGACTAATAAAAAGGATAATAAAAAGCCTTGGTCTGACATGGTTGGCGATTACCTTGATATACACATCACCATGACTGAGTTCAGCCCACCAGTGGATTTAGATGTTCCCATCTCAATCTGTGAACCTGGCTCTGGCACACCCCTGTTCTGACCTAAAAAAACAAGTAGGGAATTATTCTTTTGTGCTTCTTACTGTGAAAAAAAAAAAAGGTGTAATATTAGTATTATTACTTACTCTTTAAATTTGTTACATTCACAGAAGTTTAATTAATGAGTTTGAATTTTAGTCCGATCAGTCTTAAAATTACATATAGTTAGTTGTAAATACATATGGTTACATGAATAATAAAATACACTATATTTTTATAATTATATCATAAATATGTAATTATACTCTATAATTATGTACTATAATAATTATACATATATTATTGTATTAATGTATCATCTATTAAATTATTTTCATATTATATACACATAATTTCTTAATATGGAAAATTATTCCTCTTTTATAGAGAGGATGACCTCAATCACAGTGTCTTTCAAGAGACACTCTTATTTAATATGTAAGTGTCGTATTCCAGGAAAAATAAACTTAAATGAAGAAAAGGGAAAGAAAATGCCATCCAGGATCCTACTGCCTCACACATTTGAGTTGGCTAATTATCAGTGGTTATTATCAAAGGCTGTTCAAAAGCCTATAAAAGAGAGTTTTATGCTGATAGTAGTTCACTTTACCTTGTGCTAGGATATTAATTTAATAAGTCAGGGGACTAGAGTGTAGCTCAGTGGGAGAACACTGGCCTAGCATGCACAAGACCTAGGGTTTGATCCACAGCACCACAAAAGAGAAAAAGAGAGACCTGTTTCCTC